TTTTGATTCGGGCCTTCTGAAAGGCTCTTATAATTTAGTTGACGGACAAATGGACAAACGGAACGCTGGACTTTTATAATATATTAGACTCAAAAACTGCAAGTTTTGAATCCACTTATTTTAGGCACGTTGCATTCGAACCCATTGCGTAGGCAGCAGTTATGATTGAAACCATCATAGCACTCCTGAAACATTGAGACGTTGCAGCTAATTCGAGCCACTTGTGCGTGACCTGCCTTTGTTTTATTATCCACTCTTGCATCAGGACGGACCCCTTAGTGGCAGCAGTGCCCCGGCGGCTATAATCATTCCGGCTCCCTTGCGCGTCCCCCCCCCCTCTCACCCACCTCTCTTCCCCCCCCCCCCCCCCGCAATGTCGTTCCCACATCTCCCCTTTGGCCGCCACCCTCCCCAGCCTGCTCCTCACGCGGCCCGCTGTTCCGTCACTAATTCAGTCCATCTGTTGCCATTTCCCCCCCCCCCCCCGCCACTCCCTTGAAGCGATGCGTTTCTTGCAGTTGTGCTCCGGTGTGGAAAGACAAAGATCTCCCCGTGTAACCTTAACGGGCTTTTTTGGTTAAGTGCTGCTTAGCGAGCAGCGCCTATGAAGGCCAGCCCGGTGCCAGGTACTCATTTGAGGCCGAGTGGACCTAGGAGAGGCCTTCGAACCGGTTCAGACAATCGTCGGTGGTGTTGTCCGTCAGTGAATTGAACTCGCTAGGTTCGTAACGCAGCGCACTAACCACTGTGCCACCGGACCCAAGTGATGAAAGAAAACACACACACACGTACTGCATGCAAGTCCGTGTGTGTGTGTTCTATAAACAGCTCACTTAATTACAGCGGAGTTGTCATGTAAATATCGCTGGCGGTTACCGCTTGAAATGAAGGACATTGTGAGTAGCCGTGTTACTCGGGGGCTGCTCGTAATGTCCACAAGTTTGTCAATGTAAATTGCAGCGTGGACATATAACGATGGGGCCCTCCGGTACTAATGAGGGTTGCTGCCGTGGTGTGACGGTTAGCATAACCGCACTTGCAATCCAGAGGTCGAAGTGGCTTATCAAGTGGAAATTTATAGCAGCAAAATAATCTAAATCTCAACACATGTTTCTAAACGTGGAGGGAGAAACAAGAGGACCTGGAGAAACAGATCCACGTGATACCCACCCCCTCTCGCGACCCTCATGTATCCTGAGCCACAGTGGGTTGGCTCGCTCGGTTTAGTTTGTACCAGTGATAAAAAGAGGGGTGTTATTGGAGGCAATTTTTTCATGCCAACTCATCGTCGTCGTCGTCACGGCTCCGTTCGCGCCCACGCTAACGATGAGAGACGTTGCACCGTCTCTTAGATGGAGATGACGCCGACGCCGCCGCGGCGCGAATTTATTTGCGGATGCGCGAGGTTAGATTTGAACTTGTGAAATCGGTGAGCTGGAAGGGCGAGAGCTGTGACCAAGTTGGCCTTCGGGCTTCCCGTATTGTTTGCTTTTTAAATAAGCAAGCGACAAACAAGCGGAAACTCACAAGCAGTGGAATTTTGATCACGACTCCCTGCTCTGAGTTTACCGTATTATGGCGTGTAGAGTGTGTCTGACGTTTAAAGCCGGATGAGCTCTCTGTATTATGCTCTATATAATCCTGTCTCATTTCGAGAGACGTCTGCAAGTTGCAGGGTGGGTGTCCCGTTCACCGCCGAATCTCGGAACGCACAAGCGGTTAGCGTGTCAATTTTATTCAAAGAGGCGTAGTAGCGCCGTTGTTTTTTAAAGAAGTTGTACTCACTGCAAATAACTGTCACACGCCCTCCCGCATGGCCTTGTGGGAGCCTCGGTATGTCTTTCGACCTGAAGACGTACCAATAAAGATATTCTATTTTTGTTTACGTCATCGGAACTGATGACACGCACGTTGTCGTAATGGGAAAAGGGTTCATTGAGCAATGTGCAGGTCTGTTTGTATTTTTTTCTTACGTTCAATCTTGGAAGCGTCGGGTGCTGACATTAATTAGGGATAACCTCTTTTAGCTTTAGAGGAGAACATTTATTTCACACTTTTGTTATGCAGTTAATTACTGTCTTTGCCTGCCAAGTTTTATTTATAGCAAAAGGTAAAATGCTGTTGGTGAAGCAGAAAAATCTCGCTTCTGGTTGACGTCACCGCCACTTAGTGGCGAATGACGGTTGTTGTTGTTGTATATCTCAAATAAAACAAATACAATTCTGCCTTTTTTGTCGTCGGATTTCATCTCTTGCGGGAGCTGGCCTGTGATCCCGGGTGCCAAAGAGGTCGCCGTTTCTGTGAATTGCTTTTGAGATAGCAGGCGTAGCGTAGCACTCCAAAGGTGCTGCTTCCGTCGTCACCACAGCTTCACGTGTTGTATCAACAACATTCCAGCGCTTGAGCCGTCGGAGTCTCACCCTCCAGTGTGTGAACTCACGCGGCGCAAACGCAGAGCCGGAGAAAATGTCCCGTGAGAGGGGAGTTGACGTCTGATGCAAAATTGAGGGGGTGGTGGTGGGGAGGGGGGGGGTGCCCGTCGCTTGTTGCTTGGGCCACAGATGTGCATCTCCCTTTGCAGCACCCGCCAGGACTTGATGAGAGCTGATTCGTTTTTTTCCCGCACCTCCGATTAGCACGCTTGGCTACGTACGTTGCGAAATAATTTTTAAACGTACGTACGTGTTGTGTTATAATTCCTTTAAACCTCGTTGGTAGTCCACATTTATAACTTGAAACATTTGCACCATTGGAACCTCATTTGCCAGTAAAAAATATGATAATTGTTTTTTTACCCTTCTATCTGGCAACAAAACTGACACCGTTTTTTACAAGGAGTCATGTTTGCATAGACCACAATACCTGCAGTCATAATGCAAACAAAAAACATAACTATGATAATGTGCACTGTCCTTGAAGTTGATTGGTCCACACCCGAGACAGCTTTCCTTCAACTTCAAGGACAGTGCATACATTATCAGAGTTATGTTTTTTGTTTGCATTATGACTGCAGGTATTGTGGTCTATGCAAACATGACTCCTTGTAAAAAAAGGTGTCAGTTTTGTTGCCAGATAGAAGGGTAAAAAACCAATTATCATTGAAACATTTGATTGCCAATACATGGAACGTTCCGGGGATTTCTGCCACTTTTGGGCCATTTCTACGATTAGCTCGCCAGCATTTAATGAGAGGAAGAGCCCCCGATCGGTGTCGCAGCGGCATTTTTTTCCTTCCTGGCCACCAGCGGTAGAAATTCTGCGGGCAGGTGGGGCAGTGGGGGGGCAGTTTATTCATAACACGACCACTATCGAAATTTAAATGTGAATTATTACCCTGAACAAAACGATACTGCCCATTGGATCTGACTAGAGCCCGTTCAGTCTCATTATCTCTGGCGAGCGAGCCTTGGTACTTGATGTCCCAATTGGCTGTAATTTTAACAACTCTGTGTTTGATTTGTTTTTTTCAAATCGATACTTTGTTTGTTTTGTTTAGCACATTGGGATCTTGCCTCTGGGACTCTTGCGAAATATACCCGAGGCATCTTTGTAGGACTTCATCACTGCGTACGGCACGCTCGGGCAATACCTTACAAGAATTACCGAGCGAATTGAACAGCTCACCCTTGTGCACACTGCCCCAGAGACAGGCTTACTCACTGCTAGGCTATTACCTGGACAAAGAAGTCTGTCTGTGTGGGTGTGTATATATGACGGTAATGTTCCACTCGCTGACTAATACCACTCGGTCTTCCAAAAGACAAGCTTTCGACAAAGGCACGAGGCATTCGGCAACATGAAGTGACACAAATCCACGTGTCCACACGTGTGAATTGCTTATGAGCGAAGCGGTTACAAGAGCAGAGAACCGCTGCTTAGCCCCATGGGGCCTTCTGGACGTATTGGCCGCAGCACAACTATAAACGGTCATGATTTTTCAGTGCGGTTGATATGCGTCGGTGGCATGTATTGTATAATACTAATTGAATAAGTGTTCGCCCCTGTACCTTTTTAGCAGGGCTTGCTAGTGCGTGCATCAAAATCCACCATTTGAAGGGACCCGGTTCAGATCTTGCTGAAATCGAACCCAGGTGCGAGGGCCGTTACACATCCGTCCATCGTTTTATCGATGTTGGCTCAAGGTTTGGAGGTCGACGGTCAATGTCGGCGCGCTTCCTCTCGGCGCTTGAGCTCCCCCGCGATTTTTCCCCCCCCTTCTGAGCCGGCACCGCTCAGCCGATGGCATTCCCTGTCACGTTCATCTCTGGCCGTCGTACGCAATGCACCGCTTCACATATTTTATTTAGGGGAGCGCTTTAGCTACCCGTCAAAACTGTCAGCAGCTGTCCCCGTCGCGTGAGCGAGCGAGCGAGCCTGGGTTGATTTGAGACTGCTCGGCAAAACGGTGTGCGCGACTCGATAAATTGGCACCGAGGTTTCGTCTCATCTTCTCCCGGTCCACCGCGGCGTGAAATCTCCGTTATTAAAGTGTGCGGTTTCTAACGCCTCTCACGGTGGGATATGTTTTGTTGTCGTTTCCTCTAGTTAATTCCTATTGTTTGTTGCGATGACTTTGTGTTGTCTGCAGTTTGGCTGGTGTTCACTTCCTCGCTTAGTATAGCGGGAGGTCGTCGGTTCGATCCTGCACCCTTACGCCTGTATATTTGTAGTTTACATGTTCTCCCCGTGTTCGCGTGGATTTTTCCATGTAGAACTGATGATGGTAATTGGATTCGTAACAGCGATCAGTCGTGTGTGCAGCTGCTCGGGAGATTGTTACACACGGCATATCGTTACGTGACGGCAACGGCCGTCACAGCAGTGGATAGCTCATGGCTAATGATGATGACGATGTATGTATGTTGCACTTCTTTCGCACCGCCCATACGCCAATGGTGCTAATCGCAGGTGCGGGGCAAGGACAACGACGACAACGATGACGACGATGATGACGACGGCTAACCAGGGCAATGCTCCTCTGTGTTTGCATGTCATTGCAGGTGGCCGTAACATGACGGTGTCGCTGCAGTCGCGCACGGGCCACACGCACATGCCGTCCGTGGTCGGCGTGCTGGTCTTCACGCAGTTCTGGTTCTGGTTCCCGCTCTCGCACTTCCTGTCGCTCTCCTTCACGCCCACGGCGTGCATCGGCCTCAACAAGGACCTCAAGGTGAGCGGTGGTTGGTGGTGCCAGGTCATCGTCGGCGGCCGGGGGACGGGTGACTGGGCGGGGTATTAACGTCGGGCCGGTAGCGGTAGCGACGCCGCGCGTCTATTACGTTGCGCTGCGTGTGCGGGGAAGTGCTCCGTTACACGAGTAATGGAAGTAACGTAAGAACGAAAATGCCGTGCTCTCTCCGGCGTCGGTCCGTCGTCACCGAGCGTGCGGCCGCAGGGTGAGCGGCGGGTGCCGAACGAGTGCAGTGTGCGACGGTGCCAACGTTTTCAGAATTAATCCCAGCAGTGGTCTCGTTCGAGCTGTTGATTTTTCGCGGGGTCACCTCTAGATTGACCGATGCGTCCAAAAAAAAAAAACCCTAGGCACTCCCGCCACACGCACCAACTCGTGGGCTTGGGCGCACAAACTTGGCTGCACTCGGGATCTTTCATCGTCACCAGCCCCTCCGTCTGTGCGCTGCTTCGAAGGCATCCCCAAAGCTGTCGCCATATCTCACGGCCTTGCAATGTAACAATCTGTCTAGCCTAGCCGAGCCTCGCCTCGCGCTGATTTCATCGATCATTTCACTGCGGTGGATGTTCCTCCTGGGCCGCTTCAGAATCATGGGAATATTTATTTGGACTGGAGGAATCTGATGGGCTATGAAGCTTTTTTTCATAGATGTCCAGTAAGGTGCCGGGTAAGAACATTCCAGCAACAAACAGTGCAAAACACGATCACGCAGAGTACGAGAAATGTAAACAAATCACCTAAACGCATGCAAATGAAACTAAACCATCCCCATCCTACCAGGCAAAGGCCACTGAGGTGTTAATTTATTTTTCAGAAGCGACCTGGCCATAAATGATAGCTCAACAAAGTGGCCCATCGTTTGGATATTTTAGCACCAAAATCATCTAAACACATTCCTGCTGCGGAGGGAGCTGGTAGGAACGTTGGGTTGCTCGGTCAATGGCCAGGGTCAACGGCGGCGTGGTGTATTCCGCAAATATGGCCGACTGTGAGGGCGGGCACAAGCCGGCGTGAGTAGGTTAAACGTTGAGTTTTATAAGGGCACCACGGGGTGACCAGCTCCTCCCCACCCAGCCCCACCCCTCCCACCATCCAGCCCCACCCTCCCCACCAAGCCCCTCCCTACCCTCCCCTGTCCACCCAGCCCCACCTATCCCATTTTTGGATGCACGACGGACGGACACAATAATCCCCTGTGGGCTGGTGGAACCAGGTGGTTCCTACCAGTAATGATCTCAGTGCCTGTTTCTAAATGTGGTTGGCTCCATCCTTTGGCTGCCACTCCGTCGTTAGTCTTGCCCGCACCCCTGCCTGCCATAACGTGTCCCTCCCAAGCCGACGCTTCTTAACGAACGGTTAGCATGATCTTCAATGCAGATGCATTTTTTTTTATGTATTACGTCCCATTTGGCACGGCTATTTCTTGGGAAGATTTCATTCATTGCCTTCCAAGTGTGGCGTGAAGTTTCCGTGAATTATTTTGCGTGATGTTTTAACGGTGGTAATATATTACATTACGGTCGTGGCTATAAAGTGTTTGTCTGCTATAATACAGAAACTTTGGAATTAATTCTCGTTCTAAATTAGATATTTTTTCCCGGCTAGAAACATTTCAAGATGGTCAACGAGGCATTTCCTCCGCTTGTAGTATTTTTAAAGTACAAGGTGATCCATCTGCAGATGCCCCACCAAAACAATAGGAATAATTTTTAGAGAAAGCTACATTTTATTTTAAATCTTCTACACGTTTCCCACCAAAGGCATTAATCCAGCAGTGGATAAAAAAAGCAGTTGTAGTGAAATTCGTATTCAAAGTGACACTTGTTAATTATGTTAACCCTCTTCTCTGTAATGTACGGAGCCGTCGCTTTGCGGTATTCAATCAGCTGTTGTGAAGAAAGTAAAGAGGCTGATTAAATATCGGTGGGGTATATATAAGTGGATCACCCAATAATTTTGAGACGCAACATGTGATGAACAACAACGCTTGTGGAAATGTAATTATAATGATGGATACCCGTGCGTGCGTAGGTATTCGTACGATGGGGCAAAGCAAAAAAATCTCGACGACTTAAGCTGAATAATTATCCCATTACTGCCTCCACCAGCGGAAAGGGGAACGGTAAATTTAAAGGGGCCCCAAAAATGAATCCCATAAATGTTGTGTTGTTTATAGATAACGTGGATGCTGGGTGCGCGGTGGCGATAAAAAAAAAACCCCGGTTGACTTGTGGCTCATCCCGGCGTGAAAGGCGCGCGCGTCGTTATCTTGATGCCAGAGAGGACGAACGCCCCTCGGTGGTGTTGCTTGCTGTACGATTGTCGAATAGCCCTGAGCGGCGGGCGGGGAAGGCTCTGGGTGACGATGAAAAGTGATTATTTCATGGCAGGTTTCCAGAGAACGAAAACAAAAGCCAAGCCGAATTTTCAGTTTCGAGTCGTGGCGGGGGTCTTTGGACGTCTTAGCCGTTCGTGAGATGTGGTGTATTTTTGTTTTTATCGGCGACGTCCTAATTGATTGTTTCCTTAAAATTTGCGCCCGTTTTATTGTTTTGTTAACGCAGTGATATTAATTCGGCCCGTTAATAACCTACAGCCAATAACCTACAAGGATGGATGAGAGAACACAAATGACGATAACGAACGAAGATAATTTGTTGATCATGCAGAACAGTGCTTCGTGACCGGTGAGCTTGGCAATCCTAGATGTTGAGCGGCCGATCTGATCCCCACCCCACACCACCCTTTCCATCGCAGCAGACGGCCGTCAAACCCCAGCCCCAGGCCCTCTCAACTACTTCGGCCATGCATGCACAGTTGTGCAAACAACAACAACAACAAAAAACGCCATTCGACACCAAGTGGCGGTGACGTCACCCTGGCGCTTGTGCCAGGCTATGTGCATGTTAAGGCCACGTGAAGTGTCGAACGCCCGCTGGCAGGAGGTCACGGGACAAACCCAGGTGCCATGGGTTGACTCGCTGAGATAACTGGCCAATGCATCACCTGTGCCCCCTACTGTGACAACTTGCTGCGTTTTAGCTGCCCGGCACTCCGCTCATTGCTGTGAGCATCGCTCCTCTGCCCTCTGTTGTTGCTGGAGGACGACTGCCTTCAACTGCCCAGTAGCGTCCTTCACGAGAAACACGCACAGAGACACGGAGACACACACGGACCAAGAAAAAAGCACAGAGACATGCACAGTCAGAGAAACTCACAGAGAAGACATATATCCCCCGTATGACCCTTAGCAGACTGTTGGGGCAAGTGCTGTTAGCGATCACCTGTGAAGACTGGCGCGTCACACTAGAGGGTAGGTGGCCAGCACCACACCTGGGCCGCCTTTGTCTCCAAAGTGGCGATGTTTACTACACCGCACCAGGTATTCATTTTAAAGCTGAGTCAACCTAGAGGAGGTCCAGGACCAGTTCAGATAATTGTCACTGGTGTTGGCCGTGAGCGGCAATTGAAGTCGGGGTCGCCGGGTTCGTAGCGCAGCGCACTCACAGAAACGCCACCGCTCCCCAGAGACATACAGACACAGAGACATGCACGCACACACACACGTGAATGCACTCTCACACAGAGACAGATATGCACGGAGTCCACTAACCCTACCTCCAGGTGTGCTTCCCCGCGGAAGGATTTATTATTTTGTAGCGTAAATATTTTCTTGTCCTGTTTTGTTGCCGAGCATGGCACGTGATGGGTTGAACCAAGGCCTGATTTTTCAATCGTGGTGGCAGGAAGCAGTTTGCAATGAAAAGGACACGAGTCACCGAAAGATTAGGCACACAGTATGAGAATCTCTGCTGAGCGCCGTAGATTCATGTCCCTCCTAGGAATATAGGGTCACGGATATTGGTTTTGACAGAGAGTGTCATTACAGGTGTGAGCTGTGTCTGGGCTTCCACTGTCTTGCGATGCTGTGTTGATGCTTCAAAGCAGCATATTTCAAACGAGCTTAAAGTCATTTATTTTGTCCCGAAAAGGCTTAGCTGAGTTTTATTTATTCTTTTTTGGGGGTTTTAGAAGGATCTTGCCCATGGATGTTTTTGGACTCTTCCACCATTCAATGGATTTGCTTGTATAGTTATTAAACGATGTCGACAGCGGCGATTTTCCTAATGTTTGGTTTGCTTTTATTGTAACAAAACGCGGGCACGTTACAGCGCGACACAAGACTCGCTCAACTCGGTGTCAGGGATTTTGGTGATGTTTCCCACCTGAAGTTGAAAGCATTGAAGCATTCCCTCTTGTCCGTCTGTCCGCCCGTAACCGGGGCGGGATGGGGTACGATAACACCCGCGGAGATAATCCCACGTGAACAAAACTTTGGCCTTAAGTTGTGTTTGCCACGCAGGACTTGCATTAATGAAACCTGGCCACATCCATTAAAGGGTTTTCGCAAAACACCCGACGACTCAAACCCGAGCGAAAATTGCTTAACTGTGCGAGGATTACAGCTACCTGTCCGGTCGGCTGTGGCGGCACCGCCAGTTGAACGCTTGCGAGGACAAACGCACCGTCGTGGAAGCGTTGCGCCGATCGCCAAACTCCCCCGTTTCCGCAGGCGTCGTTTAATGCCCGCGGCGCGTTTCCTCGCGCAGATGCCCAAGGTTCAGTACAAGTCCAGCTGCAAGCCGTCGACGTTCGCTTACCCAGCCCCGCTCGAGGTGCCCAAGGAAAAGGAGAAGGAAAAGGTGAGAGGGCAACCCGGGTGACCCGGTGGGTGGGGGGGGGGCGGTCGGGGGATGGTGGAGACGCGCCTGAATACAATGCGGTGTCACGTCACACACACACACACACAATCCATTTATCGCTCGCTCGCAGGTGTCACTTAACGTTGCGAGTGAGGGCGCGGGCCGAGGTGTAATGAATTGCGCCGTTGTTGTCGTTGCTGTTGTTGCCGCCGCCGCCGCTTACAGGTCTCCACCGCAGTGCTGTCCATCACCGCCAAAGCAAAGAAGAAGGAGAAGGAACGGGAGAAGAAGGAGGAAGAGAGGATGGAAGTGGTGAGGAGTGCGTGTGTGCGTGCGTGTGTGTGCGCGTGTGTGTGTGCGTGCGTGTGTGTGCGTGTGTGCGTGCGTGTGAGTGCGTGTGTGTGCGTGTGTGTGTGTGTGTGCGTGCGCGTGTGTGCGTGTGTGCGTGTGTGCGTGCGTGCGCGGGTTAACGCGAGGCGCGCCCTGACCTGCATGCCTGGCGTCCGCACGTTAGAGTCAATCATCCCTGCTCACCGAGAGTCAGGGGATAGGTTGGGCTTAGTGTTGGGAGTAGTGTTAGTAATAGGGTTACGGGGTCGTGTTAGGTGCAGGGTTCGTGTTAGGTGCAGGGTTAGTGTTAGGTGCAGGGTTAGGAATTAGGGATAGTGTTGGTGTTTGCGATATGGTTGCGGAATAGTGTTAGCGAAAGAGTTAGGTGTTATGGGTAAGAGTTATGGACAGGGATATATTTTATATATAGGATGAGGGATAGGCATAGCTTTAGTGTTATGAGTCGTGTTAGCAGCAGGGGTTAGTGTTCGTTTCTGGGTTAGGTTAGAGTTCGTGTTTTGGAAAGGGTAATAGATAGGGTTAATCTTACAAGTAGGGTTAATTTAACATGTAGGCTTTCGCGACCAATATTATTCATAATCAACGTTTTTGGATTAGATCGCGTTATTTATAAATGTGTCGTAACCCTCCACCACCCGACACGGTCAATCAGTAAAAAAGTGTCACGTTGACAAAAGACAAATAGTTCACTGCTTTAGCCCACCGGTGTGTTGAAGCGTGAAACCACAACATTTACAATTTTTGAGTACGACGTTTCGCTGGTAATTGCATCCAGCATCATCGGGCAATTCGCCAGAAGTTCATCGTTGGGTTAAGGGTACTTTTAGCATGAGGGTTCATTCTAGTTAGCATTAATATCTGATCACCTACAATCGTAGTGTATCTTCGGATATGCTGAAACTCCATCACTGTTTACGTATTAAATCACTTAATCCGGGTTACTTTTGCCAAACTTAATTAGTGGAGAACGAGGGATATATCAGTGGTCACTTCCTGGGTATGCACAGGTGTACCAATATCAATTAACGTGTCACTAAATACGTTGGTATGTACGCAAGCAATTATTACAATTTTTCTCAGGTTTTTTCGGTAAAGCCACGTAGGTAAAACATTTAAATTAATAAAAATAAAATAAAAATGAAAAAAAAATCACGACGTTTCGGAGGCAACACAGGCTTCTGTCTTCAGGTGGAACCGTCACAGCACGATAGCTCTCACTTGATACAGCTATCGTGCTGTGACGGTTCCACCTGAAGACGGAAGCTTGTGTTGCTTCCGAAACGTCGTGATTTTTATTTAATTTTACTTTTATTAATTTGAATTTTTTACCTACGTGACTTTACCGAAAAAACCTAAGAATATGAATCCTTGCAGTCACGAAAGCTTCAAATCTAGAATTATTACCATGTTTTTTCTGATGTGCAAGATGCACTCTGTCCTCCCCTCACCTGGCATTTTGGTGTGTGCGCTCTTGTGTGTGCGTCACCTGTGGAAGAGCGGTGGTGTAGTGGTTAGCGTGCTGTGCTACGAACCTGGGAACCCCAGTGACGATTATCTGAACTGGTCAAAGACCTCTCCCATTTCGACTCCGCCTCGGATGAGTAGCTGGTGCGGTGTGTAAACATCGTCGCTCGAGAGATGAGGCGACCCGGCGTGGTACTGGCCACCCACCCCCTCGTGTGCCATTCCGGCCTTCATAGGTAGTCGCTAACAGCACTTCTTTCCCCAATGGTCTGTTAGGCTATATGAGGGATCTTTATCTTTGTGTGTCATCTGTGTTATAAGTCGATATTGACCCCGGAAACACATTTGGGGTGCATTTTGTTTGCATTGGAGTGTCTTCTAATACAGAGAATACGGTAAGAGGAATGGGTAATTAATAATAGCTTGCGGATGGAGATGATGCTTAGGCTGGGAAAAACAGAGATTGACCTCATCTCATTCCAAACATTGGTAAAACTAACACGCGTGCACGCGCATTATTGTCACTGTGCCTCTCTCTCTCGGTTATTGTGCACACATGTCCGATTGTCCGTGGCTTTTCAGGCTATATTTTCAGGCAGTGTTAGCGAAGGGTTCGTAAAGCCAGTGTGCAGTTGCTTAGCATCAACGTGGCAGCCAAATGTCAGCTGAGCAAAACGTCAATCGGATGTTTGTATTCCTCCTCCCCCCCTCTGGCTTCTGTCTAAGCGATGAGCCTAGCATCTTTTGGTCTTGAGATAAGGAATTTTTGATTATTAATGCTTCCAACTGAGGATTGAAGGCATTTTTTTTGCATAAGCTCTCTCTCTCTCTCTCCGACCACCCGTAACCGCTAACTCTCGTAAAGATGATCCAATATGAATGAACGGGAAAATTTTAACGAATCAAATTTTTTGTCGAGGTAAGGCCCACTGAGCTGTAGAGCTCTTTTTCAGAAGCTACCTGGCCACAAATGATAGGTCAACGAAGTGGCTTATGTGGACATTTATAGCAGCAAAATACTCTACAAACCCACGTTGCTTTTATATGTGGAGGGAAAAACCAGATGATCCGGAGAAGAAATCCACGCGGCCACGGGGAGAACACCAAACTCCAAATATACAACAGGCGTCAGGGTCGTGATGGAACCCACGACCTCCTGCATACCAGGCCACCGTGGCGCCCGGTGACGAGATGTTAACTGGAGACTCAGAGTGGAGCAAATAAGAACTATTTGCAAACGTACAAAACACTTTTTGCCCTGGAAGCTACCCCCATCGGCTTCCCCCCCCCCTGCTAACTAAATGCTTCCGAGGACAAAATGCATGTGGCAAATCGTCGCATAATCCATGCGTACGGCCCGGTTTTTCTTCTTTGCTTTTTCAGTTTACACTTGCAAGGATTGCGCACACGCCTCTACAGACTAGCGCCACGTCCGAGCAGTCTGCAGCATCTGCGCCTCACAGATGGGATCTCACTCCGAGCGCCGAGTTAACATTTTAATTTTTTTTTTGCGCCGCGGGCACGCGTGTTACTTTTTTTTTCTGTTCGTCAGCAAATTTTTCCGCGTGTATCTGCGCGTGCACGTACCCATCCGCGTCCTCAGCATTATCTTATACGTAGCAAGCGGTAGCAGCAATACAGCCCTTGGTCAATCCACTGCCAGATGAAGACCCCAACCCAGCTTGCCATGCCCGTCGTGTGCTTTGTTTCTACTTTTACCACGCCTGTCAGCCCAGTGTCGAGTCGATTCATGGTGAGTAGCACAGATGTTGGCGGACATGCGCAGTACAGTCGAGAACGGTGGATTTTGCTACGCTGGCTTTTCCCGCCGTGCATTGCCAACCGTGCCAATCGGAGGTGCGCGGGCTGCATTGCCGCCCGCAGTACAGCCCACGCAGTACAGCCCACGCAGTACAGCCCACGGCCTCCCGAGGGGGGGGGGAGGGGGGACAACAAACTAAACATAAAAAACAGTTCTAAAGAAATGAGTTTCAAATCTAGATTATTTAAAAAGTGCGTAACTCCAGTGGCTTCCTAATATCGGAAGGAAGAGCGTTCCAGGCGGCCACAGAAACGCATCCGAAAGCGCTACGGCCGCGTCCGCTTGCCACTTTGCCTACCCATGCCACGTCTACGGTTGACCTCCTTTCTGTGCTTGGTTTGGTGTGCTTCCCCCGCGCCTCCGATCAGCATGGTTGGCTACGTACAGTGCGAAAGAAGTTCTACGTACGTACGCGCAAGACCCGCAAGCCACACGTAGCAACTCGCAAGGGCGTGCGTCGCCCGGCTAAAGCATTGTCCAGGCTTCCTATTCTTGGTTCCATCGGTAAAGTCACGTAGAAGGGAAATAATAAAATAATTGAAATGGAACATAATACTCAGGAAGTTTCGATTGCAACACAAGCAATCATCATCAGGTGAAGTTATGTGGAAACTCTCCCCGTAGAGGCGGTTCAATTTCGATTTAAAGCTTTCATGACTGCAGGGATTCATATTCTTGGTTCTTTCGGTAAAGTCACGTAGAAGGGAAATGATAAAATAATAAAAATACTACATTTTGAAAATTCTCACGACGTTTCGATTCCCTTCTACGTGACTTTACCGAAAGAACCAAGAATATGAATCCCTGCAGTCACGAAAGCTTTAAATCGAAATTGTCCAGGCTTCTTCAACTCTGCGTCGCTTCTGAGATGATAGGGACGAGGTCCAGCACATTACGTGTGGACCGGTCATAGGCAGAATACGTTTTTTTTATCTACATGATTGACAGAGATAAGATGTTGACATTCGAAATGTATTGCTGCAGAAGGATACTGCATCTAAACTGGACTGGAAGAGTGACTAACGTAGAAGTCAGAAAAAGGTTGCACGTTGAAGAAGACAACCTGATGATGGTGATGATGTAGGCAGTGATGAGAAGGAAACTGGCACTATTTGAACACATGTAGGATGGACAACAACAGAAAAAAAAATTGTGGGGGAAGATGTAGCCAACACGGTCATAAGCAGATGATTTTTGTCTGCGCGTCGCGTTCGGAGAGAGCGTCGGCCGTGCGAGTAATATCGGTGCTGTTAAGTGCGCCGGGAAATTATGACAGGATCCGCCGGAGATCAATTCAATCGATCACGATCGCACACGCCTCGCAGCCGGGGACCGGCTCTCCCTGAAGGAAAGGCCGTTATCTCTCCGGCAAGGGGTCGACACACCGGCAACGATAATGGGCACGCCGGAGGTGAAAATCGTAAATTGGTTTGCAACAAACAGGTTAAGGACTTTCGAGTGGAGGACGCGGTCGATGCGGAAAAAAAATACCCAGCAACTTATGGGAGGGGGAATCTTTGTTTTTAAATTTTTGTCTGCATTCTGGAATCCTTCATGAAGTATGATACATTTAGTTTTGTTAAAAAATACTCCTTGTCAGTGAAACGGTTAGTCACACAAAAAAAGTAACATGAAGCAACATCATAATTTACATTATATTGTCGATCCATGACGG